GCCCCGTCTGTGTAATATATTTTAAACTTTTAGTTTAAAAATTATAAAATCTAAACATCCTACAGTATTTTTACAGACTTTATTTTACAGTTAAAGTATATGTTTATCAAATAAAGTCTAATGCTACAGATAATCGGGGATCCCTTTAAATGCCTGTTTACAACAGGCAAGATAATACTTGTTCATAACCTTTCCATGTTACGCCACTTTATCTAAACTTTTGCTTTAAGTAAAAAACAAAAAAAACAAACATTTTTTGTAGTAATTGGGACTATTAGTTTCTGACCAGCCAATCTGCAACCCCAGTGACCCCATCTTGCCTTCACCGATCCCATCAGCTCTCCAGGAAACTAATAATCTCCTTCCTGTATGTGGCCTGCAGTGGGGGCCTACACGAAAAGAGTGCATGTGTGTGTGCATGTGCAAGTCCAAGGACAATGATTATTTAGCCATAACGGAAGTCATAAAGATCTCTGCTGATGGCTATCGGCGCAGACAGAGGGAGCAGAGCCATAAAGCAGACACGGGGAACACGGGCGAAACTAGATTGGAGCTGTAGTGACACAAAAACAAACCGGGTGCCTGAGTGACTGGGTGACTCTTCGTACCACTCACATGATTTCTAAATGTCACCAAATGTCAGCTGGTGTCAGCAAGCCACTGTCATGCTAATTTAAAAACACAGTTCATGGCTGCTGGGAGGCTGATCGACAGCGTGGCTTGAGCACTTTGCGTATTTTTGTTGTTGCTGAAACATGTTGCGGACTGTGTTGTTGCAGGTATTTCTGCATCTTTGGCAGATGGAGAATGCCATGTGTTGCACAGTAACACAACCTGACATGTCACCTGGGCTCAACTCTGCTTTGGTTCTGCTTCAAGTTTGAACCAGCTCTAATAGTAAACTTATGAAGTTATCAACAAATACACTGGTTAGATTTTACAAGGAATTACAACATGTGCATGCCGAAATGTTGTGCAGTAATGCAAATAATGCTGATACCTGCAACAGCTTGAAAATTATGGCTGAAGGACAAAAAAACAAAACAAAAAAACAAAACAAAAAAATGAAGGAGACAAGACTGGAGGTGAGATGAGAACACAATGCAGAAAACAGGTCTTACACAAGGAGCTAAAAACAAATCAAATAAGCAACAAAAATATTTGAGTGGCAGCTTTAAACCACTGTCACATTCTGATTTTTGTCAATTAATTATTTTAATATCCTATTTTCAGTGTTAATCCATCCAATATGACATAAAGTTGAGTTTTTCTGTGATATAATGATAAAAAATATAAATATTCCAAATCACAATAAATATTCCCATTCTTGAAATGTACAATACTAGAAATATACAATATACATAAAAATATGTATATTTTTAAATATTTTTGCATGTGAATAAATATAAAATAGCTTTAAAACATTGCCAATTTAGTAGAAATTTAGGAAAAAAGGAAAAAAAATGTCTGTGTAATTTATAATCTTTTACTATTTTCAATAACTAATTTATTGTATTTTGATCCAAACTATTAAATGTGCTGAGTGAGGTGCTCTTGGTGCTGTAAGTTTAAGTAAATTAATTAAGAGACTATTTTTTGTCTGGCAACGCTGATGCTGAGCTTTATGAGAGCCGCATGCAGTCACAGCATGAGAAACACATCCAAAACAGTGAATAGTCATCTGCAAAAGCTGTAACTGTATTAAGGGTAGAACATTGCAAGCACCTATAATGACTTTAAGGCTATTTTAAAGCTCATTCTGGGACAAAACTGTATTTACTCTGTTAGGTTCATCATCAGTGAGAACAGAGAGGAAACAACAGCACTATGACTGGGTCTTTATTTTATCATTAAGGCGTGACCTCTGAGAGATATGGCCTAATTGTCACCACAGGAGATCGCCCACAAAGGAAACATCAAAAAGCCAAAGCTTAACAACCCCCCTATAAAAAGCCAGATCCTTCAACCTGCTTTTATATGACCCAATATTACACTACCACTCTGTCAGGACTTAAGGGAGCAATAAAATAAGTCATTAATGAGTGCTGTTTATCCTGCTTCTTGACCTGAAATTCCCTCATAAAACAAGAGATAACACTTGCTGTTCAATCATCTTTCTCTATAACATCCAATGATGGTCTTTACTTTGCTGTTTTAGGGCACGGTAAAATGATAATATTTCCTTTCTTGGAATCAAAAACTGTGATTAGTGGTGAGTAAAGGAAATATGAAGTTGAAGGGGAAAAACTTGCTTTGAACTGTTTTCCCTTGCTGTTTGCTCATGCGTCTTGTTTTCCCCTGTAGTGGTCTTGACGTTGTAATCCACACCTGGACCGGCGCCAATGATGTCTGCAGACACCTGCGTCAGACTGAGAAAAACAAGAGTGAAAAGAACAGAATCAACCCCTTCACCCCTCCTATCTTTTTTTTCTACCCTCGCTCTCTRCTCTGTTGGTGTTTGTCAACGCTCTGCAGGCCCACCCCTTCCCCCAAATGTTCCTCGTTTGAATGGGTCATGTGACTTCCTTCCTGTTTTTCTGACCCTGAGGGTCATTCTGCCTCAGGGTCAGCATGTAGCACCACCCCCTCCACTTGACAAAACCCTTGTTTGTTTATTAAAAATGCCATCTTGAATTCTCATTTATTTCTGCCCTTTTTCTTTTTGTCAAACACGCTGTTGGATAGAGACACGCAAACACTTTCTCACACAGATAATACACACCAATAATACACCCATGCTGTCACAAAATGATAAAAAACAAAGGGCAGGAGAGGCCTCCGCTGAATGTGATTGAACTTTAAAGGAACTCAGTGACCTCCGTCTCCTTTTTTATGGCGCACGACTCCTGCTGACCTTTTTGTCTGCGGAGCACGGCRGACTGTTGGGGTGAGCTGGGCTCTTGTTGTGACAGAAAAGCTTTAGGGTCCAAATGGAAATGAATGATGGCCTCCAGAGATCTAGAATAATTATTTATCTTCATGTTTTGTTGATTTTTTTCCCCTGCCAAATCAGTTGTCCAGGATATGGCTGGTTGGAAAAAACCTTTGGTTAAGCTGAACATTCAAGACCAAGATCATCCCAAAACAACTGTAACCAAGCATCAGATGGGTCTCAGTGGATTTAGAGTAGTTGCAGATAAGATCATGTGTAATAACTCTCCATTACAATGGAAAGCATGTGACCATCAGTAATGGTCACATGTACAATACAATGTTTATGTTTCGTGATTGTGGGAGGTTATTGGTGTTTGCATATGTTCATTTACATTTGACAGATACAGCAAGGGCAAACAACTTTAAAGTTGGAAGAAAGAACATTTGTTCTGCATTTGTTCAGATAAATAAACCCAGGCGCCTGCCAGTGTCTGCCAACGAGGGATTCTAATTAAATTGTTAGATGTAAATGTAATTTTACATTTCAAAAAACATTTAAAATGTAGCATTTTTTTTACATTTAGAATTTCTCAAAAATTCTTTAGTGATGTGACTATATGAGCTTTATCAAAGTTGTTTTTTTAATAATCAATAACATTTGTTCTAACTCCAACTCTGTTTGGTTACTTTGGGCCATTATAACAACACAAAGATATTTTAAGTGTTTTTTTTTTCTTCCCACGAAACTGTTTGCTTGTTTGAAGCCATTGCTTGGTCAGCACTAAATCTGTTTTGACGACCTAAAGAACTGACTCAAGCATAGAACTGGTGCCAAATTAGCTCACAGTTTTTGTATTAAACCAGGAGAAAAGAATCACTTTCATCTGGAGTCTGGGGACAATTCATAAAAACCAACAACTAAGTTGTTTGTTGCAAACAAGTTTTTCCTCGATGCATCATGAGCTTCATTTCTTTGAAAACAACAAAAGCTCGAAGAAACTTGAATAACAAAAAAAAAAAAACCTTGCTAAATTGAAAAAGTATGTTTGGAATTCCAATAAACTCTTACTTATTCTCTTTCTGCTACATAGATGAGAGAAAGTGATTGTCTCTGAGAGCTCTGGAGAACACAGGGTGCTAAGTAGTCTGAATGAATCCTGCCTGCCTGCAGCATAACGTTCTGTTCCCAGCCAGAGAACGACGAGACCCCTGGCACCGAGTCAGGCATACATGTGAGTGCTTCTCCACACCTTATCCTAGCAGAACAAGGTGACCCTCTCATGTCATGTCAGCCATTTGTGGAACAAGACGAGCTAAGAATACTTTCTCCTGGTGAATGCTAAGGATGTGTGTTACCACTCACAGACAGCAGAAATGGACAATGAAGTCCAAAAATAAGCATGAATAGAAAAACCTTTTTATAGATTTTTACAGTAAGCCACAAATCAAATTGAAAACAATAATTCGGATTCATTGAAGTGAGATTGTATTAAATTGTTCCGAGTATTTAATGTCCTAACTGTTGTAAATATCCCTTTGAATTTTAAGCCAAATAAATATAATTATATTTTGCCTAAATTGTGAGAAAATAGCTAGYTTGAGAGGGCTTTAAGCAGAATGCTATTCTCATAAAACTACTCAGACTTCAAAAACCACATAACAATGCACACAAACAATACCTTTTAAAAGTATTCGTGTCCATTTTTGAATTTAATTAGCCTGGTTTAAACCAGACCCTGTCCTTCACTTTGCTTAGTACAAGGGTCTGGACTTGATGCATAGAGAATGATTTCTTGCAGGAGGCGTGGCCTCTGCTGAAGTTTAAAATGATTGGATCAGTTGGCTGCGACGCATGTCGCTGTGGTGGAGGCTAAGCTAAGAAGCTAACCAGAAATCTCGTGTGCTGTAAACAACCCTACTGAGAGGAGAGAAGTACCGAGTCGAATGAGACGACTGTAAATGAGAGCTGCTGCTTTATCAGTCAAATTTAATTTAATTTGGAAGTCTTATCAACACGGACTGGCTTCATTCACTTCCTCCACTGCCGTATGCCAAACTAACTAGCAGACACTGTGCAGAACATCGACGTCACTCAAAGCTCCTCCTTCTGTTCTCTGATTGGCCCAGGTAAAATAAACTACAAGAGACGCTGCGCAGAAAATTGATGTTCTGTTCTCTGATTGGCCCGGCTAAAAATCTGCCAGCCCAATCCATCTCAATGGGAGAAGTCCCAGTCCGCGCAGTGAAGGGAAATTGAGCGGAGCTGCGTAGGAAGACAAGGGCCAGGCTAGAATTTCATAGATAATTACTTACAATTTTGCAGTTACTATTAGTGGCAGCAGCGTCTAACAGTGGACAGTCTGGCACAGTCTGGTGCACTTCTGGTTAGAATACCACAATATTTCTGTTGGAATGATCATGCAATGTGAAATGAACAAAAGTGTTCATMAAGGTTTATAAAATAGTATAGGATAGAATAGGACCCACTATGAAGAAAATGTAGGATAGATGTCCCGCTCATACTTGATAAATAAAGATGGATAAAGCAACTTTAACAACTGAATGATTTTTTAATTAATTAATTTATTTACATTTTGATGATATCATATTTTATTTTTGAAGCCAAAGTCTGCACACTGAACACACTCCTAACTCCTAATAAACTGTCAGTCACAATGTAACATCACACTTTTAAAGTCTCAAAAATTCAAACTAAATGTATCTTTAAAAAAATCATATTTGAACATACAGCAAGGTACTATGTGAGTAAAGAGCAAAACAAATCTGCACTTGAAAAATCCTATTTAAAGTATATTTAAATAAAAATGAGTCAAGCAGGAATTAAAATGTGCACTGCAGCGCGCCCTTTGCGGCTTTAACTTCAGGGGTTCTGATCTTGTTTYTAGTTACAATTTGTGCTGATGGGTYAGAATTAAACTCTTTTCTCCAAACTGAGGTTGTTTAAAGTTATCCACAACAGGTGCTGCTATTAGGATTTGCACGCTTTTCTCAGGTTTGCACAATTCCTGTTGCTCAACAAATRTAGTTATAGCAGTAAAAGTTGAAACCAGGCTGGTCAAAATTATAATTTATTTCTTAGAATAATAGCGAATAACAGTAATCTTGACAGATGTCCTGGATACACACTGAGSCATAGCAGTTGACACTGATACAAAGAGACAGTCATAATCGTTGCTGCAAACATCCTATCGGGATGTTTCACCYTCATTTTACTTTCTGTCAGAGATAWTAACACATAACCCTCAATGTAGCATATCATAAATATTTATCGTGTCTCTCTGTGGAGGCTGCAACATGTGGAGAAGCAAGTGCTGCAAAGTGCAACAGTTTAACTCAAGAACACTCAAGGACTCTGAGCACCTGTGGATCATCGCTTTTTGTATTGTGTCCTCATGATCAGTATGTAAATTATACACGGAATTCAACAGTCTCAAGTATTTACTCCTGAAACCTTTTTTTCCTCATACATTACCCAGAAAGGCAGGCATCACAATGTGACACAAGTCAGATGATGGGGGAGTGTGTGTGTTTGTAACAGAGAAGTCTTGTGCTCCGTCCGTTGTGTACTAACACACAGATCTGACAGGGTGTTCTTATTAGGATTAKACTCTTACAGGATTAGGAGATCAAAACTATCAACCAGGAAGAGTGGAGTTGGAACAACACATGCCTCACAAGAACAGAGAGTGAAAAGATAAAAAGCTGATTAGCTGAAAAACACACACACACACAACACTTGTTTAGTACAAGTTGGTGCTTGGCATGTGTCTATTTGTAACTGCAAAACACTGATGAAAACATTTCTCTCTCACCATGATGAAAAGCAGGCAATAATGCAATTTGTTATCTGTGTTTCTTTATGTCTGTTAGCAAAATATCTCATTAACAAAATTCAATTCAATTCAATTCAGTTTATTTATAAAGCGCCAAGTCACAACATACGTTGTCTCAGGGCACTCTACATAAAAAGAATAATCTAAAGAAGAAACCAGCAGGCTGCGTTGAATCACTTCATCACAGTCTCCCATCCTGAGCAAACGGTGGAGAGGAAAAACTCCCTGCTAATCAGGAAGAAACCTCCAGCAGAACCAGGCTCAGGATATGCGGCCATCTGCCTCGACCGGCTGGTTGAGGGACAGGAAAGAGACACAGACAAACACAGCAAAACTGGTCCAGGACTGGTCCAGGTGCATCTTCTCTTGGAAGAGACAAAGAAAAAACGTTATTGATAGAAATAATTACAATAAACATGTAGAGAACAGAGACTAAAGACAACAGCAGAGTGAGGAAATGTGCTCAGTTTGTGCTCCAGCAGTCCAAGTCTAAAGCAGCAGAAATGAAGGAAACCTAAGTCTAACTATTAACATATATTTGCAATTTATCATTTCAAACCGGTACATTTCCAAATAAAATGAAAATAGCAAAGGTTGTGCCTCTG